AGGGTTACTGGTGAAATGAGGGTTGGTACGATTTTGAGACAATCGACACTAACAATCAAAATGTGACAGCCTTTCGAAGACTTTCGAGTTAGCTGATGGTAAATGACTGCGTAAATGTGAAGAAATTGACAGGAAATTTGTGATCACGTTAGCTTATTCTACTAAGCCCCTAGTGACGCAATTTTTCAGTAGAACAGACCTAATACACAAATCAATGAAAGTTTTTTTTAACAAAGTCACGACACTAGAACAGTTTTATCCAACTGCATCGGGTCACCGCAACGGCCCCTAGTTGCCTGTAACTTTTCTCTGGAGTAACACGGCCTTCTTTGTCCGCTATTTCTCTGTTTTTCCAACAGCAAAGCATTTGTTGGTGTCTTCTAGTTCAGAGAGTGGTAGTGAAATTGACCGGCCCAGCAAAAGGCGCCGTATTCACTCTGACACTGGGGATAGCGACTCCATGAATGAGGCTAACGGTGCCAAACGTACGGGTATTCAGACGACAATCTCCGGCTTTCTTAGTGGTCCTGGTATCTCTTCGGCAGTCGCTGCAGAAGTGAATGCTCCTTCCGATGCTGAAAAGGGTCGGCAAGAGGGGCAATCTTCGACACCGTCAGCCTTGAACCTAGACACTGTTATTGAAGTTTATCGCTTTGGGCACACCAAGTGCCACTACAAGCGCAACACCATTGTGTGTTCATCTTTATTAGGTGGACTACTCAGTGAATTCAAAAAGGCTTGCCGTGAAATGTACGGGCTAGAGCAAGATGCTAGGCGTGCTAACATCGGGAGTTTTGACATGGATATCGGCATCTGCGGACGTGCGATTGATGGGGGCTTGCCAACGTTCACAGCAAAGACGGAAGTCGAGTGGCAGAATGTTGTTGCCAGGCTTACAAGTCAATTGCACCAGTATCTGCTGTTAAGTGAGTAATACGATTGGTCATTGCTGTGTTCTATGTGGTAGTAGTGTCAGTGGAAGTTTTAGTAGTAGCCGGAAGAGAAGTATCAGTAGTAGTAGCCATCTCTTGGCTTTGATGGCTGTCTGAATATTTTCTCTTAGAAGACGAGCTTTTATGACTTTTTTCCTTTTTATAGTTCGGCTAGTTGAGGTTCAGTACAAGGCTGCACCAGGTGTCCTCCATTCTTTGAAGAAAGTTAAAAAGCCGAAAAAACGACCCGAAGGAAGAAATGAAAAGGCAGTGCAAGAAGAGCGGCTGTTAAGCGCTCTTAGAAGCCACATTACTTCTAAAGCAACCGATTTTGACTTCGAAAGGACTGAGGAACAGAAAGAGCGCTTCAAAAGTTTTAAAGAAGGTTTTTATTTTGAATTATTGTTTACTTTTAACCTTTAATTTTCGTATTCTCGGTCTTGATCCCTCCACCTTAGCCTTCCAATCAAAGTAAGACACATACCAGATGGATAAAATTCCGGATTAAGTATGTTTCAGAAATTTCAATATAAGTAAGCTTGATACAAATGTGCTGTCTGCGTCATTCAAAGGTAGAGATACTGTATATGCTGTGGTTAAATTTTATCCTTGGTTTAAATTTTCTTTTCTTTTCTTTCAATCTCATTGTCATGCATTAACATATCCAAAAACGAAGGAAAATAGAATTTAAACCAAGGAATAAATTGGACCACAACATATATACCAACTGTAGTCAATGTACAAGCCATGTCCTGTTGATAAACATTAACATACGTTATTACTTCCCACAGACGTCGCGTCACGGTTCCCAGGGTCCGAAGCTGTAAGTGAGCTTCAAATTCGATGCGGGAAATGCCGTAGGGTGAGGATGGTGAATCGCCCGCGCTATTCGAAACATTTCGGTGATAGTAAGTACTACAATTTATGTTTTTCACTTTTTGTGGGTCCATCGGTGACATAGGTCCACACGTTCTTTATGCAGGAGTTACTCTCTACCCACAGTAAAGTCTGTAGAAGGAACGACCACTGAAACTGACAGAACACTTTACATAGATTATTGACTCGAGTTTTGTAACTTTTTTTGAAGAGTATTGGAAGAAATTAACACCGGCTTATAACTGTAAACATTTCTCGCAAATAAGTTGAACCAAAGTCACAGATTGCTTTTTATATTTCTTATGAACCCTGTAAGTGTTATATGGAGTCTTGTATAGTATGCATATGCTTCGCACGTACACATAATAAAATGTCACATATAAATGTCTTTTAGGCCACTGGAAAAACTGTCAACCAGCCGTAAGAAGTGGTAACATTTCAACCATGTTTGCGTCCATCTTCTCTAACCAGCAAGCGGCATCTTCGGAAGTAAATGACGAGCTTAATGATCTTAATATGTAAGTGAAGCCAATGCTTCATTGTCTTCATGGCCGGCCAGCTATTGAGCAATCGTACAGAAATAAGGAATATTGATCAATATTGTTCTTCGAAGAGAGGCGATAATTGACTACTAATGCTATTTTCGTATTGTTTAGGCTGATTACTTATTGACAAGTAGTCTCCTTTTTTTATTTGTTTAATTTAGCTTCCAATATGTTTGCTGTCAAAAATTTGAGGTTGAGTTAGAAGGTTATAACTATAACGAAAAATGAAAGTCAGCTTTGTAAATAATCGAGGAAACTGATATAATAAAAATGAAAAGTAATAAACAAGCCAGTGTTGAGATGTCTATTTTCGTTGTTCATATTATACAGGAGTGAAGTAGAGTGGGAAAACACACAAGAAACTAGCGACAGCGAAGATAGTGAGGGCAGCGAGTACACGTTTCCATGTCTGTAAGCTTTTGGCACTGTCTGGTTTAAAATCTCCTGACTTCCTTTACTTCTGTTTACGGTGTGCATCCCTAAAGCGTACATTTAAGGTGTTTTACGTCATTTGTAGTGCAGAAACCCTTCACAGTTCATGTTTTTACGCGAGTAGGCGATGGAAGGGAGTTTACGTCGGCAATGGACGGTCATAGACCGGCCGCTCACTATATTTACAGCTAAAACAACATGATGTGATATAAACTCAACATATTAACGTCTGTACTGGATAAGCATATTTCGCAATGCACGGAATGACAGGACACACAACAGTCATGAATACGACATTTTGCTTTTAGGGCTTTGGAAGAGCTTGATCCTGTAGTCATCATGCTGCAACAGGAAATAGAGTCAAAGAAACTCGAACGGAACCATATATTCTACAGATGTTTGAAGAATGCTCTTGAATTCGCACAGAAGTCATCAAATCCTCGTGAACAGTTTCAACATGATGGGACAATTAAGACATACATGGAAACTCTGGAATTTCACGGGAAACCAAAAACCATGAATTTATTAAGGGGACCAGGGCACAGAAACCAAGGGCGTGGTGGGACATTCCAGTTCAACTGGAAGGACTGGAACTTGCCCTTTATACCTTCAAAGACCACAAGGGATAAGAACAAGGCAGGCTACACCACCCGCAATGGAATCATTAAAAGCCTTCTGATTGCCTACCTCCTTCTTGCCCAACTTGAAGATAGTGAGGTACAACCCCTTTTACAGAGTTCCAGTCTGCTCCTGATACCTGCAGCGCTAGCTACTGATGGTATGAGCCTCAAACCTGGTTTGCAATTTGATCGGCGATTGAAAGAACTTGTTGGACTACTGTTTCCTGTAACTTTAGCCTTTGCTAAAGAAAATCCTTTGCCCGATCCAAGTTTTCTTCGTGATTCTTTCGTCGTCGAGGCGAATGCTTTAGTTGTGACAGCACTTGACAATAAGCTCCAAATCTGAAACAGCTCCAAATCTGCATGCACTGCCTCCTGGGAGTTTCAACCGAAACTTGCATGAATGTCATTGTTTCATCAGGAGACGCTTGCAGTAGCTACTGTCAAGGTAGGAAATAGAGCTAGGAATCCTCATTTGACAGTTAAACGCCAAATCATATCGTATACCTCCCATTTTAAACGCCTCTTTCTTCGGAAATTTCTTATGTAACCTGATTAATACCAAAGATCTTTAGAAAGTAGCAACCACATAACTAGAATCGATAAAAGGAAAAGTGTTCACTCAAGTGGGCAGGATCGACCTGTGTATGAAAGATTAAAAAAGCGACCTTGTTCGATCTTGTGATACATGGTGGGGGACGTGCATAATAATATCTTTAAAGAAAGTCTATGCACCTGCAAGGCTTCTAGCTATTGCCGACAAAGTTTTATACTTTCTGAAATTACTTTCTGAACATAAAATATCTTGTTTATTATTCAGATTGCACTTCAAACAACAGTATCTGTCGAACTTGCCAAAGTAATGGCCAGAAATTTGTTGAAGAACCACTGCGAGCGTGTACTCGTTGCATCAACTCCGGTATCCAATGTGTGAAATTGTTGGTCTTAGCCTGGTCGGCGGATTGCGAAGAAAACAACAAACAGGCTATGCTTAAGCTGATACAGGAAAAGACAGGTGGAACACTCCCTCCAAAACTTCACTTTCTTCTTCCAATTCCAGAGGCAACCCACGTGGCCAAATGCTTAAAGGGCAGCTTTTCCAACTGGTTCCTGAACAAAGGCGGAGAACGATTCAACCTTTCGAACCTAAGAACATTGTACAATGACCCCAACCCAGCGATGCGAGAGAAGATGAGAAGCGTTGTCACCTTGAGTGCAGTGCGAAATCGAGACCGCATGTCGGTCCCCGACCCGCTAACCATCAACAAAGAGTCGGTGCGTGTGCTATTGGCCAGTGTGCCACGCATCACACAAACTCTCATCCCCGAACCCTACCGTTTGTACAAAGGAAACGCGAGAGGTGTTGTCGACCATCCAACCGGTCTTTGTATAGCACCTGAAGGGAAGCTATTTGTAGCCGACAACAGCAAATCTCGGGTATTCCAAGGTAGATTGCACTACCCTGTTGACGTCAGTGAAGTAAGTGGCAGTTTGATGAATCCACAAGGTCTCGCCTACCTAAACAACGTCCTTACGTCGCAGACATGGGCAATAAAAGAGTCGCATATCTTCCGCTAAGCTCCTCCGTATTTCTTAAGCCCAACAGTATGAAGGTTTCGGAGTTGAGACCAGCTCTAGAGGAAAGACAAATTCCCACGGCTGGTCTTCAAAAGAAGGATATGGTTGCTCGCCTAAAAGAGTGGATGACAAAGGCACAGCGAGAAAATAAAGTTGACTGCACCAAATTTTCTTCTCTTCCACTGAACACTGCACGTTCGACCCCACTTTCCACTCCCCTTGCTGTTTGTGGCTTTGGCACTGACCTGTTGTTTATTTCGGATTTGCACACGCATCGAGTACTTCAAGTTTCTATCACCAACAACGGAGCAGTCTTGAAAGGAAGTGTCATCTCTGAGATCCTTCTTAAAGACTCTGCTTTACCATTAGGAATTTCCGTTGCAACGGGAAATCTTCTTGTGGCAGACTCAAGCGACGAGGGAGGATTGCTACGCATTGACCTTTCGACTAATGCAGAGACAGTTTTAGTTTCAAACAAGTCGAGCAGCTGCCAGCGCATTCACGGAATCGCAGTTGATGAGAACGGAGACTTGATATTCACGGACAGAGATGCCCGAAAATTGCGCTTGCTGTCCAACGGCACTGTGAAAGACATTGCTGGTTCGGGAGTTAATTCATCTAAAGATGGTTCATCAAGTTCTTGCTCCTTTGAACAGCCCACAGCTGTTTGTATTGAAGGGAAAACAATCTACGTTGCTGATACTGCTGTTGGACGCGTCTGCATGGTGACCCCTACTTCAGCACTTTCACTCTACCTGGAACAAACTGATACTGTTTGTAAAACGTTCGGTATTCATTTGCCTGGAATCTCTCCGAACATTTACAGTATCTCTCAAGCCATAGCTGCCTTCCGTGACGTATCATCACTCTTAAGCACCTGGGAGAGAGAGACAGCAGAATCTCTTTGTCGAGCATCTACCGTGCAAGGTCCCCAAGGTACACCCTCTTCAAAGAGCATTCAGAGCGTCAAAGTCATACTGGAATCCCTTGGAATACTGAAGGAAAGCCTGAGCTATATCAATGCCGACTTCATTTCTCATGTGCGACTTGCATCTTTACTAACACTTGTCGTGGAGCACCTTTTCAGTAAGATGCGATCGAGAAACCCTACACCCACGCTTCTTGAATATGCACAGCTCTTTGGTCCAACGATGAAAGAGAACGTCAAGCAGTTGACCAAATGCGGCTTTCATTACTTCACTGCCTCCTCATCATTCTATGAGCTCCCTGACGGTGGCAGTCTCCACTTTACTGATGTTCCAGTCATCCCGCAACTCCCGACAAAATCCATGCCCATTGGAGATCAGAAGGTTCTTCGTGACTGGCGTGACAATTACGGCCAACCAGTTGCACAAGTGACCGTAAGAAATCAATCCACTAAGGACAACGTTGGAACTCTTCCACTTTACTCCTATACCAGGCCGCAGCCCATACCGCAACCACTGTCATTCTCTTTCCCCACTGAGACCTCGTCCTCAAGGCAAGGCAGCTTGCACTCCAATGTCTCCAATGCTGAATTGTTATTTTCTTCGCAAACCGTTCTGGCCATAAAACCAGGCCTTGTCGGCCTTACTGAAAGGACACTTATTTCCACACCTTTTTATCTTGGAGTTGCAGCTGAAGATATCTACCAAGACCAGCATAGAGCTTATTTGCCAAAGATCAATATTTTTTATCCCTCCGAACAAAACATCTACCTTTTTGAAAGAAATGATCAAGTCGATTTACCCAAGGAAGCTGTGGGATTGGTACTTGATGCCTTGACACCAGCGGCTAGCGAAGAAATAATACTGCCAGAAGAAATTTACGAAGGAGTTGTCAGTGTTTTTAGAGAGACAAGGGATCTGTGCATTGAAGGTGATGAAAGCATAACAGATTCTGTTGCAGATGAAGCAGACTTCTCCGACGATGAGCTAAACAGTGTGGTCTGTGTTGACTCTGTGACCCTGCCAACCATCTCCACGTCTCGAGTCGGAAGAAATATCCGTCCACCGACCAGACTGGACTTGTAATTACTGCAAATATCTAGATTTGTAATTACCTTAAATATCCACTGTTGGCGCAAACTGACATTTTATTTCACTGTACATACGCACATTAACGGGTCATTAACTATTTTCTCTGATCCTTTGTTCAGACGATCAGCATGTAGTGTCTGTAGTAAGCCAGAGTTGCGCCAATGTATGACCTTATGTAATAAGTCCGTAAGACTGGGGAGAGTTGACAAATGCGAGGCTACTGAGATAGAGGTTGTTTACCATTTACAAGGGAAAATCGGTTGGTCAACAGTTTGTGTAAATGGTAAGCAAAACTCCAGAAAGGGAAATTCCGTTTGCGAAACGAGCTGAGTAACCACGCTTACGCATCAAAACTGGCGTAGGGTCTGGAACTGGTAGATAAAAAAGCAAATGGTACACACATTTCCGTTAGGAAATTTCGGTTGGGAATTTTGAACTACCTTTCAAGACGTTCCGTTTATTTCGGAAATTTTCCGGTTGGTCGAGCCAAAGTTGTCCATTGTCTTACCATTTACATTCTGACCGAAATTTCCGGAATTTTTGGGTAAATGGTAAACAACCAGACTCCGTGAAGCGCATCTGTGACATCTGTATGGAAGAATAGTTACAATACCGGCACTCAGTATCACAATTAGCTATCAGTGCAGCAGTTTTAATCAAGGTTAATCAAGTAAGTGTAAATATTTGTGGACATTTTTCAACAGTTCTGCATCGCAAAAATTGAAATACCGACAGCGACATTTGCCTTTCTAGCGAAAAAACGACAGCGACATTTTCCCCAACGAAACAGGCGACGGCCTGCATCGAAAACAAGCGACAAAGCGACACCAGAACCCCCCTTGGAAGGCCTCTACAATAGTGTTCAGTACACATATCTTCACATGAAAAAATTATTATCATTATTATCAATCACTAAAATTAAAAAAAGGTCTCTTTTCCCCAATGGAGGACATAAGCACCATCAGACAGTGAAGATGCGGGTGACATTAAATGCTTGAGGGTAGAAAGAGAACAATAATAATTCAAGCGAAGTAAACTATCATTAAATGATCACCTGGTTCCTACAGAAAAAAATATTTCAGGTTTCTAACCCTTACACAAAAATTATGTAACATCCAAAAGAACAGTCCATGTCTTAACCATAAGTGGTGTGATTATTATCTTGTACAGGAAGAGGAAGAAATGCTTTCACTCCTTGATTCTAAGATAATTATTATTGCTCTAAGGCCTATGGACTACAGCACCACTGTACTCAGAAAAGTCTCTGAATTGTCTTCCCCTATGCACGTTGACTGTTCGTTGGACAAAAAATGTAATATCTAAATTAATAATAATAATAGTAATAGTAATGTAATATTAATAGCAAATTTGAAATTTAGCAACTTGCTTTTCATGATTACAACAGTATCATGATATATTAGAAAGCCTTCTAGTATTGGTCCAATTTATGTTTAGATTAAGAAACATCACATATAAATTATGCGGTGTGTACAATGGGCTGATGTTGCATCCTTGTTTTGCACAGGTTTCCTTGAGAGGATCATTGCCTAAGGGCACTGAAGATTTGTCCTTGCCCTTACCCGGTAAGACTTCCAAAGATAACGTTTGTATACGTGATATGAAGTGGTGACGTGGAAATTAATGAAATCTTCAAGTCACATGCATAAAATGACTAGAATAGACTCCGTGATAAATTACAAAGTTCTTAGTGACCCAGCTTAGAGCTTGCAGAAAAAACAACACCTCTCATTAATTTAAAGCAATCCTAGCTCAATTATAATAAACTGGTTGTCAAAAGATGAAGATTCATAAAAGTCATGAGCCATTTAATTTTCGTTTGATATTTCGTTTGGAGCTGAATTTGGACAGTCTACCCAAGCACATTAAATTTCTTTATCATTATGTTACGTATATATTAAAAATTCTGGTTACTTGATTTTCTTTGGACTTTGTCTTATATTGTCTATTCAAATGACTTTGTAGATGAAAGAAAGTATGGTGACGCCATGCGAGGAGTAGGTAAGGAATTAAGTTCATTCCACTTTCTGCATACCTTTAGCTGTCATTCCCACGGTACAACAAAACAAGTCAAACCATTTCCCTCACCATAACAACGTTTTTTGAAATGCTAACGTTACCTAGTAAAGAAACTGAATATGTGGTTTTTGGTGATAGTAATTTTTTTTTGGTATTAAACATTAAGGTCCATCTGAGGCAAAGAGGCCAAAAGGGGAAGCAGATGTTACAGAAAAAGGTACAGTACATGTTACTGGGAATTTGTCGCTAGAACTTTTTTTCTTTCTCATCCGTGCAAAAAAAAAAAAAATCACATTTGTTAGAATATTGTTTTTGTTTACGTTGTAGCTGGTTGTTGATGATCACAGTATAAGTGCTTGGGACACCAAATAAGCGATTTCTCAAAAAAAGAAAAAGAAATGAGTTTCTGTACTTCGTGCCTAGGATTTCCTTCTTTCATTCTTAAGAATTCCAATGTGATGCAGACCTAACATACGCAGTCTCGAAAATCAATATTTACTGGTACTTTAGATTATTAAATTACAGTAATTTTTTATAGTGGTAGTCACCTATAAACCTTTTCATAGGACAGTCATCATTTTATTTATCAAACGTACAAGCCCAAATGACTTGAGAATAAGGCAAGAACACGCAAAAGAGCCCTTAAGCACTCCGCTTGAATTTTCCAAACCAGAAAGCTGGTTTGGAAACAACCAGTTCCTTGGCAGTTAAATATGGCGATGTGAGATTAAATTTTTTATTTTTCATAGGGGAAAACAATGAAAAAACAAAGAAGAGGGGGAAAAGGAGGAAGAAGGCAAAGAATGTAGTGGGCAATGATGGAAAAGAATGATGCTTGGCAGTTTTTAATTATGGAAAGAAAAATTCAAATTTCTTAATTGTTTAATTCGTAATACGAAGAGGACCGAGTGGAGTCCAGTTCAGTCTGTTATTGACATTCAACTCACTATCTCATCTCTGATCGGCTGAAAGAATGCAGTGAGATTTTGAAATCAGTGCCTGGGACGTCTACACTCAACGTCATGGGTAATCATGTCATGTATGACCGCAGTGTATGATTTTTACCTCGACCTTGATTATTCTGGATATCACAAAGACCTCATCCAATAATTGTTTAATATGATTACAGACCAAATTAGACTTCATGAAGTTCTCCTACCGATTAATCATAACTTTAACAAAATTTGTGATAAGACTATATCTTTAAATCAAAACACAAGAAATTCCAAGACCTTTTTTTGCCAGCAGTGAAAAACGGCCATTTAAGTGCGCGCGTATTGTCCTATTAGTGCTGAAATCATGGCAGTTGATTGCCAATCAGATTTGAGAATTTTGCTATAGTTATGATAAACTTTAAAAATATGGAATAGACAAATGAACAAAATGTGCGCCTAAATAATCTAATTATGACAATGAGCCAACGGCTTTGACCGTCATTGTTTCTCGTTTGGATGACGACTAATTCCTAGATTGTGTTATACACTATGATGTCAAGTTGCTAAGCTTGTTTTCTTCTTCCCTCTAAGTACCGGGCTTTGATGATTATATCACTATTACTGTGAAACTCACAAATCAGAAATTTTTACGGAATGTTAATGTGTTGCGATAAAATTTCCAATAAGGCGCACGCAAAAATTTCCAGGCGTTAAGCTTTTTGCGAGTTTGACAGTAAGGGCCTGTTTGCATGGAGGTGGGGGACCCCAGGTAGGTGGGGTTAGAAAAGAACCCTCCTCTACATGCAATCTTACTACCCACTTAACACGTGAACAAGAAAAATGTTGGCAAACCACGTGTTTTGGCTTTTCTACACTCACTTGCTGTTCTTGCTGCAACTTTTAGTCCTGTTGCTTTCTATTGTTAATCAAATTAAAATGAGAGATTATATGGACAGGTGGCTTACGTCACCTTCCTCGGGTCCTCCACCTTCATGAAAAAAGGCCCTAAGAGTTCAAATTTGAAATTTTGCAAGTTGCCTTTCATGATTACAATAGTATAATGCGTTTCTGATTTGAAGTGGAAATTTTGCAAAGTTTACATCATAGTTTTCGTATGCACAACTAATGCCATCTGTATGATCAACGTCAAATAAAATAGAAAATGTATTAATTTAAATACATTGTCAGCATCATGGCGAAAGAGCTTTCCCCATTAGGCTCTTCGCTAATTTTAATTTTGTTTAATTTAAGGCAAACTTAGTGCTAAAGAAAGGAAAAACAAATTATACCATCTATGCATCTATTCTGAATTTAATTCGTAAGTGTGACGAGGAAAGCCCATGACCTGATGCAGAAAATGAATATATTGGGGTTTTATATATTATAGTAAGGGTAATTTTTCAGTTTCATTTTGTTGCAAGTTTCACCGTTTGGAGAATGGAATAAGTTGAAAATATATAATTGTATTGTATTTACAGGTTTTGAACTACAAAATTTTATCTTTCTTAAAGTCTCAGCCGGGGGTTTAGTCTTAACATATTCTTCAGCTCGACATTCTTAGAAAACACCTGTATAACGTGTATTGTTGTAGGGGAAAAAAGTGTAATCCTAATCCGCGGACAATGTCAGACCCATATCTCACAGATATTCTCTGGTGCAGAAGCAATAGATAAAAACTTCCTGCTTTCTGTCTAAATGTTTTTCAACTTTCTCCATCCGTGTCTCTACTCCATATGTTGTTGCTTTGTTATTTATACCCACTTTTTCATGCCTTCAATAATAAGAAATGCAAGCTTCAGACCATTACGAGGAAGCGCAAGCCCATCTGTACAAGCTATGAGGTTAACGGCAGTACCATCAACTCCTGTAAGGTAGAGCGTGACCTTGGCGTCTCCTTGGACTGTGACTTGACTTGGCACGCCCAAGTCTCTCACCAAGAAGCACTCGCAAACAAGTTGTTAGGTTCGTTACGAGGAACTCTAGGTTTATTCACAGTACTTCCGTAAGGCGCACATTATACCTTGGGCTAGTTCGTGCTCATCTTGGCTACGCAACCCAGGTCTGGGTACTCCAAGGCATTGAACTAATTTCCAAACGCGAAAGTATCCAAAGACGTGCCACATATCTCTTACAAAGAAAGACTAATGTCGGTAAACCTACTTCCTGTGCTACTGGCAAGAGTTACTAGATCTAGTATACTTTTACAAGGCTACGCATAATATGATTCACTAGATCTGTCTGTTGTTCCCTTTGTGCGCGAATGTGCACGAAGGACCCGTATATCCATAACAAGCTCTCAATCTTTTGTGCCTAAGAAATGCAGGACTTCTACCTGTCAGAAATCTTTTTTCATTAGAACCACTAGAATCTGGAACCTGCTTATTACTAGACTTGACCTAGATAATGTTACTTTTGAGAACTTTAAATCTGTTCTTTACGGTTATTACTCGCGGGTTCTCGCAACAAACTATGAACTGGACTCTCCGAAGAGCTTCAAAAGTATTTGCTTGAAATGCAACACAGCCAGGTTTTTAGACCAAGAAATTAGCTGCTGCACGTGATTTAAATTGCTACTTTTACATCTTTTATTTTTTGGGTCCGCAGTTATTGCTTTGAGCTTTTGCGGTGTCCCTGCCCAAATATTTAAGTCATTATTAGTGTCTTGTTACGTTCTTATTACTAGTGTTTG